AGGAATGCCTTGAGGGCCTGGGTCACCCTTGGAAACATATTTTATTTTGATTAAAAGAATGTTTAAAGTGCTTATATTAGTCATTAAATGGATGATGAAAATGAAATACCAGATCCTAGTTATAGTAATGACAAAAAAGATTATGCTCCCACCAATTCACCCAATTCACTGGCACTATGTTAAATTAATAACAAAATTTGCCAAAATACAGTATTAGTTATAGAATATAAATAGTGACAATCACAGCAAGCCATAAAAACATGTTTAAAGGTACATTCACTAGAAATTTACAATGCTCACAAAAAATGGAAGATTAAAAAGAATTACATAACAACTAGATAAGCAGTTATTTGTCTTGTGCCACAATGGTGGCCGAACAGTAAGGGGTTAAATTTGCCTTTTAGCCAGTACTATACCTCCTACTTTAAATGACAGTGTTCATACTAATGCCTTAGTATGAACAAGTCATTACTACGTATTTCTACTACATTACTACATATAGCATGCTGGGTTTGGATGGGTAGCTGGTTTTTTTCATGGTAGCTAGTATGGGGCTGTGGTTTGGATTTGTGCTGAAAACAGTGTCGATACACAGGGGTATTTTAGTTACTGCTGAGCAGTGCTTACACAGGGTCAAAGCCTTCTCTACGTCTCGCACCACGCCACTAGTGAGCAGGCTGGCAGATGCACAAGGAGCTGGGAGGGAACACAGCTGACCCCAGCTGACCCAAGGGATGTTCTATACCATACGGTATCATGCTCAGCGTATAAAGCTTGGGGAAGAAGGAAGGAGGGGATATTCAGAGTTATGGCATTTGTCTTCCCAAGTTATGCATGACGTTTTGCTTTGCTTGTGTGCACGGCTTTTGCTTGAGTTTTCTCACTTTTACTCTTCTGATTGTCTCCCCCATCCCTTTGTGAGGGGTTTAAGTTGCCAGCTGGGATTAAACCATGACATATTACATATATGTCATGGTTTAACTGTCTTTTCATGACAAAAATACAAATTATTGGTTCAAAGGAATTATTTCAGTGTAAGCAGACACAGCTCCAAAATTGGAATTCTCCAGACTTCAAAATCTTTCTGGGTAAAATGTGTCAATTGTGATATTAGACTGTATGTTCTGACTTTATTCTGCATGTTCCACAGGATGATTTGAAATATGAGACTGTCAGCAATTTACCTGTCCCTTCCAATTCTTTTCCCAAAGCCACATCATACCTTAGCACCTTCTTTTCCTGCAGCACCTGGGAGGCCTTGTTCACCTGGTGGACCAGGAGGACCTGGGTGACCTCTTTCACCAATTGGACCAGTCTCACCAGTAGGACCCTAAGCACAAAGTAAAAAGTCAGTCACCTGAAGGTAATGAATGTCTTGGGGGTGGAAGGTGGGGAGGAACAGATTCTTAGCACCCAGCTGTTGTGAGTATCTGTTACAAAGCAGTTTTCCCATTGCTTAGCATACATTCCTCAGCCTTCCCTCCAGGCAAAGCTGACTTACAAAATATCTTTGTCCTATAAAATAAATCTTGCATTGCATTCCACCTGCAGACACCTGCACAGCTTCCGAGGAGTAAAATCCCATCCTTGCTCCTTAAGCAATGAAGCTTTAAAACAGTGTGCATCCATGTAGAGGGAGAGGTCACAAAAAGGACACAGGAAGGAAATGCATGTACTTGTGCTTGCCCTGAAACACTGTACTGTTGTTTTTCTGGATAATCTGAATTGGAAGGTGGGAATGTTGAAAGGGATCTCTTCAGATTCACTAGCTGAAAACTTTCACTGAGGGAATTACTTAAAACAGCTCATGCAATCCAAGTGCTTGATTTTGTTGCAAGTAAGTAAGATTAGATCAACTGCAGTTTTGACAGTGAATCTGTCCACAATCTAAAAGTGACTGAAATTTGGCCGCTGACAAGAAAGTCACAGTGAATCATAGAATCATAGACTGTAAAGGACCTTAAGATCACTCAGTTCCAACCCCTTGCCATGGGCAGGAACACCTTCCGCTAGACAGTGTAACCCAAGGCTCTGTCCAGACTGGCCTTGAACACTTCCCGGGATGGAGCATTCACCACTTCTTTGGGCAACCTGTGCCAGTGCCTCACCACCCTCACAGTAAAGAACTTCTTCCTCAGATCTAACCTGAACTTTTGAACCTGTCACCCCTTGTCCTATCGTTACAGTCCCTAATGAATAGTCCCTGTCCAGCATCCCTGTGGGCCCCTTCAGACACTGGAAGCTGCTCTGAGGTCTCCACGCAGCTTCTCTTCTCCAGGCTCAACAGCCCCAATGTTCTCAGCCTGTCTCCATACAGGAGCTGCTCCAGCCCCTGATCATCCTTGTGGCCTCCTCTGGATTTGCTCCAATGGCTCCTTGTCCTTCTTATGTTGAGGACACCAGAATTGCACACAGTGCTGCAAATGGGGTCTCACGAGAGCACAGCATAGGGGCAGGATCACCTCCTTCGACCTGCTGCTCACACTATGTGAACAGGTTATACTGTTCTTTCTAAACTATTTCATGGCAGACAACTTTGCCTTCTTGAGTTCTCATGAAGAAAAACCACAAAACTGGAGGTGGAAAGGTAACCCCAACATTTGTGTATTTCATGGAATCACTGATAATTATTAAGTACACCTTTCTAAAATTGTTATGCAGCATTTGTTACAAAAGTTAATATAACCATGAATATAGTCCTTTTAATACACCAATAGCAACTGCCTTAGCGATAACATAACCATTTAACATTGGACTTATGAAGTTACTATGAAATGGAAGGAGGTACCTGAGGGCCAACAACACCACCAGGACCAGGAGGACCAGTTTTTCCTTGAAAACCCTGTGAAATAATTGTAAAATACTATGTTACCAAGGACAAGATACAGAAGAGGATAATTCTTGTCTGTGCTGAAGAGAATAAAGAGAAATTCCATGTCACACAATCTTTCTCTTCAGGACGTAACAACGAGAAATTATTTGTTCTTGTGTATACTTTGATGTGAAACACTGATTAATCTTTCTTATCTCTATCAGTTCCAATCAACCTGAGCTGACACAACAGTAAAAAATCCAGTCAGTTTTACAGATCTCTCTAGGTGAACTTGATGAGGTGACTGTGAATGCATAAATGATGCAGCTAAAAGACAGCTGAAAATCCATTTTTACATATATACATTATGAGTCATAAAGCCAGACATACAAATGCTTTTTAAGGAAAGACACAGATGGTGGATTAAAGTGGAGAGGCATTAAAGGGGAGATTAGACAGAAAGAAAATGAAAAGAAACAGAGACCCAGGGAAGATGAAAGTTATACAGAGATGGTAAAAAAGGCAGCACGAGTGCCACAAAAAAGAATCAAGTTAATGAGAAATTGATATGATGACAGAAACTGGGAAGCAGAGAGGAGAAAGGTAATGATTTTGGGACAGTTTTTCACAACACTGACAAATAATTTTACAGAATTTGTATTTTCTCATCAGTGGCCCCAGACTTCAGTCCACAACTCATCAATAAGCTGAATGACAACCTCACTTGATAGTAGTACTATTTAATGTATCTTTGAAACATGCTGAATTCCTTCTTTCAAATATTGGAAGTGTTTTGCTGCATCAAGTTAGGAGAGTGTATTCACTACTGTATCACATAGTATACGATGCCTGACAGCCTGTATCTGCCTCCTACCCTGCTCACCTGTGTAATAAAAGGTGTCATCTGGCCCATATTCCTTACAAACATTGTGCCCTGCTCAGCATTCCTCTGGGCACAGTCTCACTGACAGTTGCCCCATTATATCAGATGTGGTTTAAGCTTTTTCTAACCTTCCTCAATCTGATTCTCTTCTTGCTGCCAGCCAGACATTACCCTGGTTCAGCCTGGCAAATAACTCCCTCTCAGACCTCTGAAATGATCCAAACTAAAAACAAATACAAAAGCACCCCTTTGCTCTAATGGCTGAAAATCAAAACCGGTACAGATGGAATCATTCCTGTGTCCTTTCCTTTATGCAGTCAAAGCTTCTTCTGAAGCCTACTGTAAGGAAAGACAAAGGAATGTTGAGTATCACCCATGTCCTGAAAGTACCTTGAGAAGATCTGCTATTCCCAGGTTTGCAGAATGAATGGATACTTTGCAGTATATTCAATGATTCTTGATGTTAATGATGGTTTTAGTACTCTGCTTTTTCTTATGTCATCAGCTTATTATCCCTACAGATTCAGATTTGTAAAAGTAGTAATAAGTAAAGGAGATTTCAGCAGCACATAGTCAAGATAACCTGAACATCCCATGGGTTCATCTAAACTATTTAGCATTACAAAATTTACACTAATGTCTCATGCAGGTGTTTTTAAGTGCCTAATTAGTCTCTTTCTTTCTTTGTTATTTTCTGGAAAGATAATGTAATAAAATTGAGTTTACTGTAGTGAGAAGAATGTCCTTGATTAATTCCAGTAGATGAAACAGCTAGTATATTTCTATTTTTTCCTTTCACAGGCATGAAACACTTTGTGTAACACCAGACCATCTAATAACCTCTGCAGCTGGTGTCTCCTGACAGTCTGAGATTGGTATCACTGAAATTGATAAACACTTCTAAGGACGAACTAGCTTAATATTGGTTTTCAGTATCTAGTTTATGTCTACATTTATATTCCAAATTATTTATCATGATATTATTGTTCCTATGTCTAGAATTTCAGCAAACAATGGCAGCTCTTCGAAGTTCATATGGTTTACTGAGGGCAATAGCTGTAGCCTTCTCTCCACTAATACTTCCCTCAGTTGCTATCAACATATGCTTGTTATTCCATAAGCAAGCTGCAGAGTGCAATCTGGGAATCTGGCTCTCTAATTTGTTAAGCATGACTATGTCTTTTAGCCTAATTCCCTTATTGCTCTAATGCCCACATGCATCGCTAAACTTTAATGAGATATACGCCTAACTAAGAAATAGAATCCTTCAGACCTTGAGTGAAATAAAAGTTTTCTGATTTATACATTTCTTTAAAATCTGAAATGGAAATGTTCATTTAAAAAAATAAAAAATTAACAAGTCTACTTTTTAATTTATTTTTTTTTTTAAATCTAGTTTTCTCATACTTGAGAACCCATGGGAGAAAAAACCACTTTTTAAATAAGTCTGGGCCAAGTATATATATACACAGGTCAGAAAACAATGCTAATGAAAAGCTGCATTTTTTAAAATACGTTTATGCATTTGCACTCAGTTTGTCAGTCTAATCCTACTGAAGACAAAGGAGATTAAAAATTAGAGAACCATAGTACTGATTAAACCCAGAGGGACCTGGTCCAGACACCACACAGTAGAAGAGTCTGTAGTTCCATTGTATGTTGCATCTTTCTTTTCTAGTCATGAATGAAATCAAGAAATCATCAAATCATAGAACAGTTGAGGCTGGAAATGACCTCGGGAGGTCATATGTCCAACTGACCTGCTCAAGTAGGGCCACTGAGAGTTGGCTGCCCAGGAATATCTCCAGCCTCTCTGTTCCAATGCTCAGTCACCCACACAGTTAAAAAAGTGGTTACTGATGTTCAGATGGAGACTCCTGTGTTTCAGTTTATCCCCATTGCCTCTTGTCCTGTCACAGGGCATCGCTGAAAAGAGCCCGCCTCCATCTTCTTTACACCCTGTCTTCAGGCTTTATATACTTTGGTAAGATTTGACCTGGGTCTTCTCTAGGTTAAAAAGCCCCATCTCTATCAGTCCTTACTCATAGGAGAGATGCTGCAGTCCCTTAACCATCATGGTGGCCCTTTGCTGGCCTCTCCCCAGTAGCTTTCTCTCTGTTCTCTTGAGAAGTCCAGATCTGGACACAATACTCCTGGCCCCACCAGGGCTGAACAGAAGGGAAAGATCACCCTCCTGCAGCCCAGGATACTAGTAGTATTCTTTGCCATAATGGCACATTACTGGCTCATGTACAAATAAGTAAGAATAAAGGGAAAAGAATAACCGTGCTTTTTCTTATCAGACTAAAGAACAATTTCAAGCTTCCTGCATTCTACGGAATGATTCAAACTAATTTTTATGATACACAAGATTAGTCTTTACATTATTGCAAAGAAAAAGAAGAAAGAAGTAGTCAATAATGATTCTCTCACACACATAAAAGCATTACAATGCGTAAGAAAACATAGTTTTTCCACATGGTGTGTTACTCCAAGATCTGTTCTCCTCCTTCCAGCAGTGGAAGTGATGCAGCAGTCACTAACAGATTTCCAGTGAAGTTAGAACCCAGAACTCAGCCAACATGCTTAGACAAATTATCTCTAAATTCATTTATGGCTTTCTCTAGCTCTGAAAAGTCCAAGTAAGAATTGTATTTTATTTCAGTACAATATGAATAAGGCTTTGGCACTATGGAAGTAGAAAGTCTTTTTAAATAATTCCATTAAAACTGTTACACGTAAATCTTTTCATTTTGATGCCAGAATTTACTGATTATGATTCTGAAGGGGATTACCTAAGATATAGTTTCAAAATTGAAGGGGTTTTTGATAGGTTGAATCATTCCTGATCCTACTTTCCAAAGGCATTGGCTTTTGAGTCTCCGAGCTGCTTACTACTGATAAGCCTTTTTGTTACTTTATGATTTATGTTACATGGCATTCAGTGAGAAAAGTACCATAGAGTAATTACCTGACAAATCTTTATTAAAATTGAGATCTGAGTATTAATCTACTTGACTTTTATTGTGATGTTCCTAACCGGGCATATCAAACAATAAGCTCACTCTTGTAGCATGGAAACTAAAATAAAGTTTTATCATGTCTAAGCTACCAACCATA